CATTTGTTAACCCATTTATCTTTTTCTGTTGAGCTAATGGATAAGATTTAGGATGCATAATGCTGGGCTATAATAAGAATGCAACTGTAGCTGTGTTTTTGAAATAATATATATTTTTTGGATGAAGGGTAGAAATGCAACAAGATAAAAATCTATTGGTGGAATTGAGTTATGTTAGTCTTGAAGTGTCGCTTACAACCTAAACTCTCAGATAGTTTAAGCTCTGATAAAGTTCTTTTGTGTTAGTAGTTACACAAGTCACCTATATATTTAATTTTTTTTGCTCCCTCTCTCTCTCTATGATGAAATACAATCCTGCAAATGAAAAGATTGTAAATATTTTGCTTTCTAAAATTTTTTTAAGTCCTTTTACATGTTTCCTTAACTAATTGCCTAAATATTAAAGCATGTATGAGTTAAAAATCAGAAGTTAGAGGGCATGAAGATATACTTTCAATTATTATGAATTTAAATTTCATTCAAGGCTTAAGGATATATTTTTGATTTGTCATACACATTGCTCATTATATTTAACTAAAGTTAATAAAGGTAGGATAGGTTTATAATGGGTTATGCTAGGCTTGAGGTGGTGTTTACTACTTTGGTGAGGTATGTTTCCTCTTTAGATTGCCAATAAACATGTGAAACCTTGAATAATTGCAAATAATAAGATACCAAAATAGAGAATTTAGAAGTTATGGTTTTATTATTTTACTCATGATAGGGAAATAATAGTAGTAGCTCTGGTGATAGAAGTGTGACTTTGGGTGATCAATATATCAAAGGGTGTGAACGATTTAGATATCTTGGGTCCGTTGTTCAAAGCGATGGTGATATAGATGGGGATGTTAATAGTAGAATTCAAGTTGGTTGGTTGAAGTGGATGAATGCTTCAGACCTTTTGTGTGATAGAAAAGTACCGCTTAGACTGAAAGGAAATTTTTATAAGACGGTGGTGAGACCTGCAATGCTCTATGGCGCTGAATTTTGGCCTTTAAAAGAGAAGCATAATAATAAGTTTAGTGTTGCGGAGGTGAAAATGATTAGGTGGATGAGCGGCTTTACACTTAGAGACAAAATGCGAAATGAATATATCCGTGATATGGTTGGTGTAGCTCCTGCGTCGGACATTAGAGAAAGTCGTTTTAGATGGTTTGGTCACATTAAACGTTGACCATCCAATGATCCAATTATGAGATTAGATGTTTTAGATTCGACTTGTGTTAAGAAAGGTAGAGGTAGACCTAGGAAGATTGGGGCTTATTGTATAAAAAATGATCTTAATATAGTAGAACTAAATGAAAATATGACACTAAATAGGACGCAATGGAGAAAAGGATTCATGTAGCCGACCCACGTAGTGGGATTAAGGCTTTGTTGTTGTTGTTGTTGTTGTATAGGGAAATCAAATCTATTCGACTATTCCTATCTAAACTAGTTGTTGAAAGTCGCACTTGATTTGTCTCTTAACTCCATGTGATGCAGCTTTTGATGAAGATGAAGATTTTTATTGTTGAAGTTGAAGATCTACTCTTGAAATGAAAGTGTTTTGGTGGAAGAAAACCTTGGCGAGGAAGTTCTAAGATAAGATGTTCACTTGCTGTGGTTGTGGCTCTTTGAATTGCTGATTTTCCATCTTTTAGAACAAAGAGTATAGGGTGTTGGGCCACTTTAATTCTCATACCAAATGATGGGAATACGGTGACAAGGATTTTAGATTTACTGGAAAGGCTGTGATTATGTTGTGGTTAATGGAAGACTTGGAAATTGATGACTAGTTTTGGCATAAAAAAAAACAAAGTTAGGGTTGGAACTTTCTAATCATGTTTAAACTTGTTGCCTTTCTTGGGACGGGTGATGACATTCAAATAAAAGTTTGGATTTTTTTCTCAGTTTTTTTTAAGCAGACTATGATATTGGCAGATGAAAAGAAAAATTGATTAGAACATATGCCGACATAGACAAAAAAGCCTTGTGGCCACATTAAAATCATCTAACTTGGAGCTTGGTATATTTGGAAAGTTATGACAATATTTTTTTGGTTGATTCTTCCTTTTCGAGCATATATAATTTGAAACTTTTTATCTACAAGCTCCTACTGCTAGAGTTGCTAATATCAGAGGCAAAATCAAGAGAGTTTGGATGCTTGCATCCCCACTTCTGAGAGATGATCAAAAGCTATAACGCCATATTAGGATCACAGATCATGTGAGGAGACGTGGGGGTTGGAAAAAGAACCAGGTAAGACACATATTCACAAGGTATGTTCTAAAGTTGATCCCAAGTTTTGGATACAAGTCAAGTTAGAAATAGACGAAACTCTACAACCATTGTGATGTTTGGATGATCTGTAATGGTTCATTGGCTAGGTTATACGAGGGGTAGAAATATTTTAAGGTCTTAGGAAAGTGGAGCTGATGCAAATGAGTAAGTGAGGAAAGAGAGAGAAGTATTTTAGGGCTTGCAAATGTTAACTATGGTAGATTCATAAATTATTTTGAAAACTGGCAGCCAACCGCCTTCATTATGCAATTCTGCAGACAATCAAGTCCCTTTTTCATGGGGTATAAATAATAAATGAAAAGCAGCAAAAAGGAGAAGATGCACATACATGAAAGCATTTTGAATTTCCATCTCAAAATTCCCTCTAAAGATTACTGTGCCCCCAACCCGTTCATGATCACAACTAAGTTTCCTTAATTTGTGCTGATTAGCAAGCTTCCAAAATAATTAATGCATTTGAAAGTCTCCCTCCAAAATCATACGTGCCCTCCTTGATTACCCAAAAATAAAATAATTAAATCCCTACACTTTTATTTGCTGATGTGTACACTTGCTTGTCTTGCATTAGGCAATTTTGTTTTGTTTTATTGGGGGAGGATTGCTAGCACCATCATAGTAGTAATAGAGTAAAGATGTTAATGTGGAGGAAGAAGAAATTGGGTTTTTTTTAGGAGGAAGGATTGTAAATATATTTGCATCTTTGGGCCAGTAAAAACATAAATATCCAAAAGATAAAATTATATGATTTACAGGTTTGTTTCAATGACATGTCTATAAGATGTTATTATGTTACCATAAATATCCACTTTTTGTTCATTGTGCATATTGTTAGATTTTATTTCAAACTAGGAATCATCTTTTGGCATGTAGAACATGTTTTGAACGAAAGATTATCAATGTGCAGTTCGATGCACAATGCTTTTTTTTTTCTCTGTTTTTTTTGCTTTAAAAAGTGAAGCACAAACAAGCTTCATTTAAATGAAACATATTTATCACAACAACATTACATAATACTATACTATCTAACAAACTAAAAGCAAATTAAAATCATGAAATGATTTATGGCATTTTAAATCAAATATTTAAAAGAAAAAGTTTTTATCAACTTGAAAGTAATTGGCCACACATATGCTGTGACTATCAATCTATGTTAACTCATCGTTGAACCAATATTCTTCTTTGAAAAGGAAGGAGCATCATACGCTCTGCAAAACAACATTAAAGCCCAGGCTTACACAACATTAACACCACAATTAACGGGCATGTTTCATTGTGCTTTTAACTAAATTGGTCCATTAATTTACGAAATCATTCTGGTTTAGCAGTTTAGGTTTTATCGAACATATGCAGGCATAGTTTATTATTTGTTTGTGCAACTGGTAATCTTTCAAAATTTTAGAAATTAAAACAAATTGCATTGGGAAGGGAATAAGAGGATGGTATAGGTAGGCTGTTCTTGTCGCCTTTTGTTGTGTATGTCATGAGCATTGGTCACCACGACCGAGTAGGCCAAGTTCAATGGCATTTTTGTTATGATCTTAGAGACGATATTTATGGGATGTTTGAGGTCATTGCTCCTGAGAACCTATAAGATTAGATATGGGTTTGTATAAAATTTGTTTTTGCTAAAATACCCTATATATTATGCTGTTTTGGGTTGTTGAGTAACTCACACTTGACTAACATATTTATGGCTCTCCAGATCTTTGGCCGAACATAACCAAATATGTGAATGGGTCAAATGCGAGTTTTCCTTGTTTAGTTTGTGACATATGATTTACTTTGAGGCTTGTTGCATGCTTTTGTATGAGATGTGTTAAAAATTACCATCGGAACTTGTTAGGGCACCAATGTTTCATAGCTTTTTGATTTTGCTGGTTCTTTTGAAGAAACATATCTTAAGGACGTTTGTTCACAAAGACTACTTATTGGCAATTAACTTGCTAGTGTTCTTTCAGAAGTTTTTTGCATTTACATTTTTTTCCTTAACATCAAAATTAACTTTAGGTTACATTGGAAAGCCAATCCGATCGGTGTTTGCTTTGTAGGAAATTTATTTGAGATATTTGGATTTTATACCAAATCAATTGCCGCCCACATTTTCTTTGGAGGGAGTTTATCTGTCAGCCAATGTTTTTACACCCAAACAAATATCTGCTTAGCGAATTCTTATACATTCACCTTGTCTAGCTTTCTTATGATCCATCATTTCTCACTCCTTTCAATGTTCTCATTTAATCTCTCTCTCTCTCTCTCACGCGCGCGCGCGCGCACACACACACACTTCTCTCTCTCGCGCGCGCGCGCGCACACACACACACACACAACACTCTCACCCACCCACCCTCTCTTTGTTTCCTCAGTTGGGTTTGCACTAGAAAAAGTCTGAATATCTTGTTGGCATGCCAGCAGCATCTTCATAATCTAATACACGTAAAAAATACTTGCATTCTTTTTCATATAAATTTTGATAGAATTTATAGTCCATTTACGTTCTTTTAGACCATCTAAATTTTGAAAATATCTTTTCACGATTCTATTGGAAATTCCGGTTGCCTGCAAAGTAACTTCAGGTTTATTTTGTTTCTTTCCCGTAAATGTTTTCACTATTTAAAAAACGAATTTGATCCTTTGTTTTTGTTACTTTCGAATAAGATGAGCTTTTAGATCCAATTACTGCTTAATGGAAGATGAGCATGAGGAATCTGTTTTGGCAGGATGATTCTAACTTTGAGGTTGATGGCGTTGAAATAGAACCATTTAATTTGCAGCAAGAGAGAGAGGAGGGATATTTTGATGAAAATGGAAACTATGTTGAGTATAGACATGAGCAGGAAATCGAGGTTGTTCCCATTCTTCAAATTTGCTTTCACCTATCATTCTAAATGAGGAAATACTTGACTGATGTGTTTCTAATGATTTATTCAGGATGCTTGGCTGGACAGTGTTTCTGCTGACTCAAGGTTTGCAGAAAAGGTTCCAGATAGGCAAATTTTAGAGGAAGAATATGAGGACCTTTCCTTAGAAGAGATACGAACTTTGAAGAGGAGAATTGTCAGCATTCTTCAGCCTGGAGAAAATGTAAGTTCTGTCATGTAGAGTTTGCATTGTGTTTATCTCTGTATCTTAACTATAACATTTTCACTTTTCTTTTTTCTTGTTGATGTCAATCCTACTTGCATGTGTGCACATGTATGATAAAATCATATTCAATCCTCCATTTTGCGTAATTCTTTTTTGTTTAAAGCTTTTAACCTCTAAGTGAGACATAATGGTCCTTTCTTATCTGATGACAGTTGATTTAAACATTCATTTAGTTTGTTTAAACTATCATTGTCTAATCATTGCAAACACGAGTGTATTTAAAAAAAATACAATAACAACAACAACAACAACAACAACAACAAGCCTTTATCCCCCTAAGTAGGGTTGGCTACATGAATCTTTTTTCTCCATTGTGTCCTATTGAGTTGATATTTTCATTTAATTCTAATAAATTAAGATCATTTTTTATACAATATACCTAAGTCTTTTTAGTTCTACCTTTGCCTTTTTTAACATAAGTCGAATCTAAAGCATCTACTTTTCTAACCAAATCATCAGATGGTTTTCGTTTAATGTGGATAAAACCTTCTAAGACGACTCTCTCTGATCTTGTCTGCCACTGGAGCTTCACGGATAGATTCATTTTTGTACTTGTCTTTTAGTGTCAAGCCACTTATCTACCTAAGCATTCTCACCTCAGTAACACTTAACTTTGTTTTATGCTTCTCTTTTAAAGGCCAACATTCCATGCCATAAACCATTGCAGGTCTCACCATCATCTTATAAAATTTTCCTTCAAATCTAAGCGGTAATTTTTTATCACACAATAGGCCCGATGCATTCCTCCTTTTCAAACAACCAACTCGAATTCTACTAATAACATTCCCATCTATATCACATCATTGTGAAAAATAAACCCGAGATATCTAAAATGCTCACATCTTTTAATGATTTGATCACCCATAGTTGCAATTATGCCACTAGAGCTACTACTTCTAAAATTACATTCCATATATTTAGTTTTGGATCTACTCAAACGAAGGCCTTTGGACTCTAATGTATTTAAAAAAAATAAAAGAACTAAATTTAGTACATGTAGAAAAGTAATTACTAACCTCAGTTTTATTTTATTAAATAATCGTTTCATGAACTTTTTTGACTTATTTTTCCGCAACTTTAAATATTAGCTTCGATGAGTTCACTTGATCATAAAATTGAAGGTGTTATTCCTAATTAAAATATTTGATTCTTCACTATTTCACTTAAATTTTTAGTTCTTATGAATTACTTCATATATTGGTTTTCCTCTTTTTTTCATTTGTTTAATTAATGATTCCAGTTGGTCAATTTTCGATTACTCCTACAAAATATAATATTTTCCTGCAGTTAAATCCTAAAATATTTCTTCAATTTAATCTCGCTCAGGTGTTTATATATCTAAAAAAATTTTAATAGAGTTATAGTTAAAACTTTTACCTCAATTCTTTTTTTTTTGTATGATCAATGATCCCAATCCCTTATTGTATTTTAATTTGAATATTATTCAACATTTGCTTTCTGAGCTCTTTCAGTAAAAACATAATATTATTTTTTATTAAAATGAAATTTAAAATAATTATTTTTGAAATAAATAGAAAAAGAATTTCACCTTTCTTTCTATGACTTTTAGCCCATCCCTGTCTACTAGGCCCATCCCTGTCTACTAGGTTTGCACTTTGTTTCATTTTTCGGTATGCTCAAGATAGATTCTTGTTGGAATCAAACACAAGGGCAGAGTGAAAATTTTATTTTAATTAAAGCACAAGTTGTTGATTTCAAACACAGTTTCAACCCTTTTCACTTGCGACAAACATTAACGATTTGTTAAAATTCAAATTTTCTGTTCTGCATTACTTACAAATGATTTAAATTCATTCATAAATTATCATACGTCTCCCTACAAGTTATGTAGTATATATACACACCATATATTTTTCCCATAATATTATTTTGAATATATTGTTTTCTACCCTATCCAACTACAAATCAGATAAATTTGCTCTCAAGAATGATATAACTAAGGATTATACTGCTCTCCATACAAAAATCATTTCTTCTGTTCTCTGTTTTACTTATGAAAAGGTTAAATTGATTGGAATCATATTTTGAAACAAAAATGCAGACTATATAATTCCAAAGGACAAACGTAGAAGCTAATGAAAAGATAAAAATAGAATTTTAAAAGTAAAATATTTAAAGAAAATATAAAATTAAGATTTAGACAAGATTTAATGATAATTAAAAAATCATGCTGAATTACAAGACCAATTAAAATAAGAGAATCTAGAGACGATTGATGAAGAAGAAGACGAGTAGATGCAAATAGGCAATATTAATTCTCTCCATCTCCATTTCCAACTAATTAATGCATACTCATAATAAAACGGTACATTTCAAGTTTGATCTTAAACGAGGCAAATTTCAAAAATTTTCATGGTCTAATCACTAATGCCTCAAAAATTAAAATCCCACATTCGAGTGCTTGTAATTTCCTTTTACATGAGTAGATGGCTTAACAACTAAGAAAAAAAAGGCCTTCACAAAATTATCAAAATTTCAACAAATTATGTATGAAAACGAAAGAGTAAAAATTGAATATACCAATGGCAATTGGTTGCGCTTTGAGATGTCGAATGGTGGGATGAGATGCGGGCAAGCAAGGCATTAGTCTGCCAACAATTGTTTTTGTTGCAAGATGCAGGGCAGGGACAAAGAAGTCATTCCTTTGCGACTTGGGAGCGCCGGATGGAGGGATAACAGGATGAGGGTCACAAGACGTGGAATAATGGGGTGATCAAATGAGCAACTATTTTTTTTGAAATGTGTGACGGTGCGAAACTTGGGACAGTGGGAAACACGAGAATTAATAAGAATTTATTAGAAAAAAATATTTTTTGGTTCGAGCTAATGGAGGCATGGGCCTTTAGGACCCCCAGTGTGGATTATTGCTTGCCCAATATTGTTTATCATCCACACTCGACACTTAGGGTCTGTTTGGGGCAGCTGTAGATTATTTATATACTGCAGATAAACAAATTATCCTTATAATCTGACAATCTGTAGATTATCAGGATAAACTTATTTGTTGTTTGGGGGAACTTATTCAGAACGGCTTATTGACAACTGTTACTGGATAAATGACTATTCTGCCCCAGTTTGTCTTAGCTTGCAAAACATAAATCGATCAACAAGTTCACTTCAGCTTTGCGCATGGAAGCCATGGTTGCCCTTAAACAAATGGGTCGTCCAAGGTGTTATATCTCCTCTGCTTGAGAATTATTTGAGAAAGGTAATTGATTGGATCTTTGAATGACTACAAGAAAGTTGCCTTTGATGATGGATTATCCAAATCTTGGATTGAAGCCAAAACAAAGGAAAAATTGAACTTAAGAACCTAAGAACCTAAGAACCTTAAGAACCTAAGAACCTGTCTGTAGGAATTAAAGATGTCATTTTTGTTGTTTGGACGTATTTAAGCTAAATCCTACAACCAAACAACCCATAATTCTCATTTCCTTATCAAGAATCAGAAAAATGCCTTACAAAATGAAGGCATAAAATACTGGTTCAGTGAATTTACCTAGCGTTTAGTGATGCGAGAAAAAGGCAACGATGCACAAAAGAAAAGCGTTCGACGCGAGAAGAATGGCAACGATACAAGAAAAGGCAACTAAGAGAGAAGAAAACGTTCGGTGAATTTACCTAGCGTCAGTCGAAGATTTGTGGTTTCCTCCCTGTTGATGAACGCGAACAAAAAACCTTGTGTGAATTCAGTTCGCGACGCAAGGTGTCGAGGATGAAGGACCTTGACTATGGCTCGGGATGAAAGGGGCGCAGAAGAAGTTAAACGATGAAGGAGCTCGGGACGACGGTGAGGAAGAGGGAGAGCAGAGAAGGGCACGGGAGGAAATCTTCAACCTAACGCTCGAATCCAACGCAGGACGCGGCCCCAATCCCGCTTCGCGCCCTATTAACGAAAACCCTTAAGTGCGTTCGGCGCTGTGGAATTAATCCGGAGCGAACGTGTTTTCCAAACACGAAGGCGGCGCCCGCATACCGCCACCGCACCCCAATAAGCTGCCCCAAACGGGCACTTAGCTTGCATGCAGTGTAGTGGACAATCGCTTCACACAACGCTAGCACACTATGCTTGTCCGAACGTTTTTGTGCCACACAACTTATGTTGTCTACATACTTTTTGTCATTGTTCTCCCCTCGTGCGGCGTCGATCAACACAATTACTCTCTCCCGTATATTGTGCTCGATGCCACGGATTACATCTCCTTCTCATGCGCTCATCACCTGCACATGAACACTAAGACGTTGTCCCTTTTGGTGGCTTTGACTCTCGCATGCACTGTTTGTTTTGTCTCCCTGTCTCACTTTCTCGGTTTTGAATTAGATGAGTCTCACTCGTCTTCCCCCGTCCCTTCTCATTAGTGGACTTCGCTTGTCGGTTTCACTGAACCAATGCAGTTGGTTTGGATTATATTTTTTTATTTTTTATAACCGGTCGTTACATAGGTACATAGGTAACTGACGATTATTCTATTTTCCAATGCATCCTTTGGTGAGAGAGAGGGATGGTGAGTTATAGGAGGGAGTGGATGGTGGCCACTCTCTACCCCCGTCACCTGCAAAGTTATGGTTGGCTTCCATCTGAGAGATATATCATATAAAGAAAGGAGATGGCTACAAGGCGTGCAAGCAAATGGTAAGGAAGGGGTGGCTAGTGGCCTCCTTTCCTAAACTATTGAGCTTGACTTGGTTTTAGTTTTATCATAAAGTTAGAGAGGGTGAGTTGATGTTGCACAGAAAAAATTTGGGCTGGATCTACTGGGGGAGAGAGAAATGGGACAAAGCGTGAGAGGAAGGAATTAGTGGACAAATCCTTGTCAGTTTTTCAGTTTCAATTATCTATGATTAGAGGGAAAAATGGGGGGATTGGAGAGAGGGAGAGGGCAATTGATTTGCCTTGGCCTTAAAATATTTGTGATTTCAGTTGTTAATTGCAGAGGACCATATGAATGGTTTAGGTGATGCGAAGGAGCATGTGCCTACTTATCTTTACACATTTTGATTAAAGAAGTTTGAAAACGTGAGATAAAGCTATATGAAATTTGAATTCCTATATTTAAGTTACCATTTCTGAGAAAATGTTTCATATATCATCTGATTTCGAATGTATTTAATTTCGTTTGCGTGGCATGCATTTCAATGAGAAATGTGACAGTGATGCATGCTTGCCACTACTTTTGGGTTAGTGTTAGCAGTTTCAATAAAATATCGTTGTATGTCAATCAGGCAACTGAAAAGTTAGAGAATACTTTTGTGAATCTGAATGTACTACTTCTTCTTTTACAACATAATTTTGAACAGGTGTAGAAGTGAAAACAAACCATATATAAATGAAGTTATCACATTTTCATGAAAAACTTTTTCTTTGGTATTTGATGCAACTTTAAACTAGTTCCAAGTGTGGATCGTGGTATATGCAAGCACTTATCTAATGTGATGTTTTCGTTGTTTAGTTTCATCCTCTTTCTGTCGACCTTACTCGTCATGCAATCTATATTTTTGGTGCTCCCATAGTTAGCTGAATTTAATCTTTAATTTTCTTTAGGGCTTCAGTTTGATATTCTGAAGGATGATGACCAGCTATTCCTGAACCTTGATTTTCCATTTCAAACTTATTGTTATAAAAAGTGCCAGGCGCTTTCTGTTATAGTTGTTGAATGGCTAAGGTGTTAGCTGCTTGTTCGAGTGGTGGAATGAGATGCTAATGAATAATTATCACTTATAAACTAAATTTATAAATGATGAATAAATTTTAATTGTTAAGTGATGATCATTACTGAAAAGTAGGGTGGATTATTAACTTTTAGTTTTTATTGTTTTTCTAGTTAAAATTTCCTAGTAAATAGATGATCTTAAATAAGTAAAATATTGCTTGAATTTTTTAGCATCCATTTTCTCAAAAATGAAATGATAAGAGAAAGCCTTTTAGGAACAACAGGGTAGAGATAGTATTTTTTTTTTCTTTTTATGTTTTAATAAGCAAAGTAATAATGCTATTTGTAGAGTTACAAGGATCAATTACACTAGGAAAGAAAAATATAAATAAGATGTAACAAAATTAGGGAAATAAATACATAATATTTGTCTTTTTCTAAAGGAAGTAAGTAATTAGCTGTAATAATTAGTTATAATAATAATAATAATAATAATAATAATAATAATAATAATAATAATAATAGTAATAATAAAATGAATGTTAGCGAGTCTGTGTTGATTCAAATTAATCGTCGCATCCACAATTTCTTATTAAAGGATTGGTACCCGACATCTCATTCATGCAAAAGTGACGGTAAAAATGTACAAAATATAAAATGAGAGAGGTAAAGAGCGAGAATAAGGAAGAAGAAATCAACACCACCTGTGTGAGTGCTATTGCACTTGGGAAGAAGGGAGACGAAGTTGAAGTCACATGTTCCGTGCGAAGGAGATTCCCGATGTGCGGGGCCGCCTGCTAGCTATAGGTTCTCCGGCAGGTGTCGATCCAAGGAGACGAAATCAGAGAAGCGAAGAGGCAAATATTAGAAGTTGGAGGAATAAGCTAGGGCACACAAGAGTTGAAGCTAAGGAGAAGGATTTGCTTGAAGATGACAAACTAGTGAGTCGTCACGTGCAGGAGGCTAATTCAATGTGTCAAGTCTGTTGTTATTTTTCTTTTCAATGTGTTGGTTGTAATTTCCTTCAGTAATAATATCTTGTTTCTCCGTTGTATTTGGGTTAACTCCGGTACTTTTGGCTGAATATCAGTTGTACACGGTTTTTTAGAATTGTCATCATCATCATTAGCCGTTGTTATTTGTGTTAACTCCGGTACTTTTGGCTGAATATCCATTGTACACGGTTTTTTTAGAATTGTCATCATCATCATTAGCCTTATTTTTTAGAATTGTCATCATCATAATTGCAGTTTTACAAAATTTATCTTGAAGCTTTCATGACATCCTCTTGCCACAAATTGCTCCAGATCCAATTCTAATCTTTAACGTTATGAAGGAAGTAAAATAAATGATCTGTGTCTTTAGAAAAGATTTTAATATTTTTTCTTGAAGTCATAATGTTCTGGAGGCCAAGTTAAATGTACTTCGTTGCATTTTACTTACTGCAGATTATATCTTTTTCTTTCTTTCTTAATGTGAACAACTAAAACTGCTCATGTTTCACCATAAATAGGAAATCAGAACTCTTCCTATTTTTGAACTGCAACGACTCCTTGCTGTTTTCGTTCACTTAATTACTTTTTTTTTCTCTTTTTAGCCTGAACAGCAAACAGGATTTGTTCTCTGTTGCTGGACAGCAAGTTGTTCTTTCTGTTCTCATTTTATTTTGGAGGTCATATAGAAGTCTCTGAAATTTTTTTGCAGATTATACATGCACTAAAACGCTTAAAAGGTGCTTCAAATGATAATAGGGCAAAGATGTCTGAGAGTACCAAGCTCATTTTTGATCAACTTACTGAGGATGCTATGAAGCTCATGGAGAATGGCGAGTACAGTTAAGTATGTTTATAGGTTTCATATTCTGTTCTGTCTGAGTCCCAGGGCGTAAAAATTTTGGTAGAAAATATTTTAGGTTGTCTATGACAAAATTGAGAAGTTTGAGAATAAAATTGCCGTTAATGTCTTATATTGGTTATTATTATTACTATTATTTTGGATCTGCTCATGTTTGGAGTTATTTATATGATTGGTTCTATTGTAAGGGCTTAAAAGTGTAATGGTTCGGTTATGAGATTCTCTGCTTAAATTTATTTGCAATATATCTATGTAGGTGTTTCCATTTCATTATCCAACCTCTGTTTATTTAGTGTTGACTTATATAGCAAAGCCTAGTTTATTTCCACAGCAGAGAGTGACTGATAAGTTGTTGAATGGTAGGAATCAATTAATTATAACAGTTTCTGATTTTTTTCTAGTATATTCTGTATCTGATCACCAGTGTAGTTTCATCAATACGATCGGCTCTGTCATTAACTTGCTTCCTTTTTTAGATGTTTACCACCAAGAGCGGGAGACCTTTGAACGTGAAACAGGTCAGCTTGTTTTTTTATTTGTTTTCGGTTTTAATTCTTTGAGGTTAATCTTCTGTCATCAGTAGTGCTTATCATCATTATTATCTTTGTGAATGTTCAATGCTGTTTCTTCGTGTTCTCTTCTCTTTACCTCTTTTATCTTTCATCAGTCATAGTAGGAATGCTGGTTTGTCTAAAGCAGCTTAATGAGTTTATCCTTTTTGCTGATGATTGATAATTGTCCACTTTTCACATGATAAATTGAGCAACTCAAGACGCTCTATCGAGTCATGCCTTAGTTTCTGGGGTGCAAATATAGGATTAGATGCACAAAAAAGCATTAAGAAGATCTCAAATCATAATTTTACCAAATCCTAGTTTAGGCAAAGATTTGTTTATTTTGATGAAAATAATCAATTTATTTTGAATTATAATATAAAAGTGGTTAAAATTTATAATTCCACAGTAAATTTGAGAATAATTAAAAGTTTCGTTATAAGGAAGATCCACGCAACAATAATGGAAACCGATATGTAAAGAACTTGGTTTAATCTCAACTCTTAGAAAAATCATTTATCACATGTGGGCTCCAAAAATTCGTGCCTGACTCTTCTATGAGATATTTTTGGTTAGATTTTTAGGAGATAGATTTAATATCGGATAGGACGCTGCTAAGAGGTTTTACCTTTATTTTGCGATGACTATATGATTTGTTTTAAGGTTTGTCATAGTTGCAAGCCCTTGTAATTTTCTCTCCTAATCAAGAGATAAAACTTATGATTAAGCTTATTTGTTAAATGCTAACTATTTGACTTATAATAGCAGTGACATAGTCTAGAATTGATAAGGATATACCACCTTTAGCTTTAGAATGGATGATGGGAGAATGCTGATGAACCTTATTAAGATCCCATTTTTTTGTTGTCTCGAATTTTAATGGAGGCTAATCCACTTAGTCTGAATGGAAAATTTTATAAGAGGGTGGTTGAAATGGATTCAAGTTTGTTGGTTGAAAAAGTTTGTTGGTTGAAATGGAGGAATGCTTCGACCTTTTGTGTGATAGAAAAGTACCGCTTATACTGAAAGGAAAATTTTATGAGTGGGTGGTGAGACCTGCATGCTCTATGACGCTGAATTAATTTTGGCCTTTAGAAGAGAAGCATAATACTAAGTTAAGTGTTGCCGAGATGGAATGATTAACTGGATGAGTGGATTTAAACTTAGAGAAAAAATGCTAAATGAATATATACATGATAGGGTTGGTGTAGCTCCAGTGAAGGACAAAGTTAGATAGAGCCGTCTTAGATGATTTGGTCGCATTAAACATCGACCATCTGAGGATCCGATTGGGAGAGTAGATGTTTTAGATTCGACTTTGTAAAGGCAGAGGTAGACCTTGGAAAACTTGGGCTTATTGTATAAAAATGATCTTAATTTATTAGAACTAAATGAAAATATAACACTAAATAGGACGCAATGGAGAAAAATGATTAATGTAGCTGACCTCACGTAGTGGGATTAAGGCTTTGTTGTTGTTGTTGTTGTAATCCACTTAGTCGAAGGAGATTAGCAGCTAAGTTTGATAGAAAGATCTTTATAAGAAATCAAAGATTGCTCGTCGTAGAGAATATTATAAATTTGGGATGTATTTTTATTTATGGGTACAATTTTCGGTCGATGTTAGCTAACAAAGGTCTTTGTGCCATAATAAATGTAGTACATGATTCATCACTCAAAGTGTTAAGCAACTAAGTAACTTTCGTGTTTCAGTCATGATCGTTATTTAAGAATGACTATCTTGTCGAAGGGTCTTAATTGTAAATGTAATTTAGTGATACCATTTTGTGGCAAAATTACCCAACTAGAGGGGCACATGTCACATCTCTAGCTGCATGAGACTTTTGAGAGTGATCATAGTGGTGCACTTGATATAAAATTGGCTTTTAATAAAAGCTAATTTTGTCACCTTTAACAAATTGATGTGAATGGATGGATCAAATGCTCAAAGCTCGAGGCATCAGGTTTTATTCAAATGTCTTCAAATTTAATATTTTGCTTTGGAATTTTTATTTTTTCAATAATTTCATCTCAAAATAATTTATTCCGACATTTGAGGGCTTTATTTATAATAATTCTCAATCCGATTAAGATTTTTTGTTAACACGAATATTATCCGAGAGTTTCTTGAGCTATTTATTTTTGTAATTTGAGTGTTTAATTTTTAAAATAGACTTGATTTGGATCTTGTTGGGTATGTTTGCTTTACTTGTAGTTGACAAGTTTGTACCTTGTTTACTGTTCGAATTCTTTTGGAATTCTTATAAACCTTTCCAACTACTTTTTACATAGAGGGACAATTTTGATGAACTTACAACTTACCATACAGGCAAGATGGCCTAGAGTTTTCTCATTTTGAAGTTTTTTTTTTCTTAAGGGCTCTAAAAACCTTATGCAAATGTAAAATAAAATAACTTTAGCGAGCTTCATAGTTGAGTATTAAGTTCTCAATCTAACTAGATGACTTGTGGTCTGGTTTTGTTGTCACCATGACACTGAACTTGGGGTTTTTTTGTTGAACCAACCAATAGGTTCAGTGGGGAAGTGCCTTGGTCCAGAGGAGGCTGGATCAATCCATCTCTCGGTCCCATGAGGCGGGAAGCACCACTGCCCAAATGCCTCTCTTGCTTATTTTGTTTTGCCGCCCAAGTGGAGTTGCCCATTTTTCCTATTCTATCTCCTAGCTATTATATATTAGTTGTTTTGGATTGCTTAGGGTTTAGTTCTTGGTTATCTCTGATTTCAGAATTCTCCCTTCGGGCATTTCTCCCTTCCTAGTGTTGTGTCCGACAACGTGAAGGTGCTCCAACTATAAACTTGTCTGAGGTGATGATTATCCCCACTTGTTCCCTCTTCCCTTGCTGTTGCCCTCCTCCCAGCAGCGTTCCGTGATGTCGCTCTCCTCCTCAGCATCCTTCCCTGTTGTCGCCTTCCTTTCAACATCCTTCCATTATTGCTGAACCTTCTTCCACAACCTTCCTCTGATGCCAAACCTCATCCCAATATCCTTTCCGACCCCCACACTCCCTTCCAACAGCCTCCTTTGCTCCGCTAGCCTTCATTGCATCTTCCTTGTTGTCGCCTACACCAAACCAGTCATCTACTTGCTTCTTTTATGTTGGTTCTTGTTTATTTCCTATTTTAAAGAGTCGTCATTATATTTTGTTTGCATTTTAGCAATAATATTTTTGTTTTCTATCGCGGTTTGGGTTAACTCTAGTATCATTTGGTATCAGAGTTAGCCTAATCCTAATCTTATTCTAGAATTTTCTAGCATCCGCTCTTACCCCTCCAATTTTCTTTCTCTACCCTCATCCACCCCTTCTATACCCTACTCGGATCATGACACCACTGAAATACATGATTGACCCTACCCGGGATGAGATACAACGAGACATCCTTTGCTTGCAACGACTGACATAGATGAGTGATGGAACCTAGGGGGAGATTCTAACGCCCAAATTTCAAGAAATCAAGTTCGTTCGACAAATTTTAAGTATCTTAAATTTCACACTCATTCAAATGTGCTCGAAGCAATTTTATAAAATTCTACGCATGAAATAGAGGAATTTGATATACATACTACATATAAATTATGAATGATTTTGGAAATATAGAAGTCAGAAGTTATATGTTTTATTAGCTTAATTAAATCTTAATTATTTTAATTAATTATCTCTAATCCTCTCAGTACTATAGCCCATCGCCTCTCACGCCTTTTAATCCATTCGTTCTATCGAATAGTGCACGAGCGTCTAATTTTCCTTCTTCCTCTCCCAATTTCCCTTCTCTCTCTGTTCGGTTTCACGCGACAAAAATCCCGCCTGGAGGTGTTCTTGCTTACTCCTACGCGTTCGAGCACTGTATGAGGTCACGAACAACAAGGGGCGAGCGGCCATCCGAGTGGCACAGAGCACAATCCAAGGCAATTTCAGTAAGTAGGAAATTCTCTCTTGTCAATTGAGGCTTTCATTTCCTTCCTCACCCTTCCATTTTGGAGTTTGCATCGTTTTTTGTACTATTCTCATTTCTGGTAGGCGTCAGAGGAACCGATTTTGTGCCAGAAGTGTTGTAATTGATTTTTGGAGCTTCTAAAAATATTTTAGCACGAAATCAATGTACGGGAGGTGTGGTTGGAGGTGATAGAAATGAAATTAGGTGATTTCAGATAGACCAGCTATGACAAAAAGTTCTTTTGAGGTATGTTTTAGCAAATAAAGTACATTTTTTTGGGTTAATGCATGTTATGAGCCAAATTTTATGAAGTCCTATGTTGTTTACTAGCCTTAGGTTGTCTATACGAGACGACCAGCTCGAGATGAGCGTGTGGGCACTCGTCACAGGGCTGCTCCATTAAGTTAGGTGAAATAACTTTATGCTAATTTAAGAAAAATAATCTTCTATAGGTTTTCATATGATTTTTATTTTGACACTAATACATTTAGAACTTTTGATATATTGTAAATGAATACCTGCAAGTAAAAGTGTGAATTCACGTTTATTTTTCTTACGATATATGTAATACTATAATCATGCTATGCTACATATGACTATGCATATGATATGAATTTTTTGTCGCTAGTCATTTATTTTGTTTCATCAATATGCGTATGATACATGTAATGTCTGATAAATGCTTGATATAAGAGTGTTAATTTAAATGTCACGAATAATGTTGTAGATAGACTATTACATGAGTGCTTGCAAAGTATAATATGCAGGGATGTAATATTCTTTATTCCTGATATTTATATGGAGACGGAACTCTCGAAATCATCAGAATTAGGCGGTGACAGAACGTTAGAGAGCCATGACTATCAAGGAGGCTATCGATAACTGTCATGTTGGAGGAAACCCAACATTTATCGATAGTTTATATAACCTTTGGGGCAGGTTGACGACCCATGATGTAAGTACATTGAAATAGTTGTGCTCTATACATTAGACAAGCAATATTGTTATGA